CACTGTGGGAGCCATGCTGCTGGGTATACAGGGAGCCCTCCGGGAGAAGGAGAGGGAATCTCACCACCAGCAGGAGCCAGGAGTGGAGCGTACCCTCTGGACCTGAGACCCCTGTGTGGGGGAAAGCCCCCCGGGTCAGAGAAGCAGCAGCAGCAGGAGCACGTGAGACAGTGGTGGGCTGCCCTGCCCAGCCCAGCCCAGCCAGGAGCAAGTCCAGCGAGTGCCGCTGGACAAGAGGCTGGCTGGTGGAGTGGAGAACCTGTGGGCACATAACTCAGGGAGCTGGGTGACTGTGGACCCCTCTGGGCACACATTAGCAGCACTGCAGGAACTCTGTAGCACGCCCTGACTGAATAACTCTATTCATCGTAACCCGTGATAGCCTGGCCATAATAAGTCCCATCGTTGTGGGCACCCCAAGCTCTGTGTGGCCATCGCAGTGAATTCTAGAACCAGGGAGACGAGCAGAGAGGGTGGGGGGAGAGAGGCCTGACAGTCTGACCCCATAAAGACTGCCGCAGAGCACCCACGGGGGCAGCTGTCCTCCGACCTTCAGAGTGTATGTATTCCCTGCAGGAAAAAGACAAGGCTGGCTGCCTCTTACAAAGACTGAGCATCTCAGAAACCCACAGGGGCAGTGCTGCCCTGTCCACAGGGTCGCTGTGAGTTGGCATCGCCTCAGTGGCGGTGGATCTACACCCCAAAAGAGCGGTCAACTCTGAACAGAGGCACTGTCTATGTTTGCCTTCCTATGAGAAGCGGGCCACCCTAAGCCTTCAGTTTCTCGGGGCCACAGCCTGGTCCCAGGGCACCGACCCGCATGTTGTACCTAATGGTCATCCGCAATCGGTTCAAGTCCTCTTCTAGAGCCAAGTCCGTCTTGTTGAGGATGATGAGGTCAGCTAGGGCAACCTGCCTGGGAGCAAGCAAGGCAAGGGGAGTCATAGGAGAGGGCGAGACCCATGCCCGTCCCACCAGGCTGCTTGTCGGCCACCTGTCTGGACGGGCTGTGGTCACTCCCATGGGGCTCCCATGCCCACCCGGCAGCCCACTCAGCAACTGTCACCATACCGAGAGCCTGGGTATGGGGCAGGGGCAGGGGCAGGGGCAGGGGCAGGGGCAGCGATTTAAACCCTTAGGAGCTAAGGACACACCAATCAGGAGCAAGAGTACTGGAGAAGGCAAAGCTCCACATGCCACGTCACAACCCCCTCAGTCACTGGTTCCTCTGCTCTGAGTGAGCAACTGTGGGCATGTCAACCCAGGGTGGACGGGCAGCCTAGGAGGCAGACTTGTGAACTCAGGGGTGGACGGGCAGCCCGGGAGGCAGACTTGTGAACCCAGGGGTGGACGGGGCAGCCCGGGAGGCAGACTTGTGAACCCAGGGGTGGACGGGCAGCCTGAGAGGCAGTACCTCAGCATCATCTCCAACCCCAAAGCGCTGCCTGGGGCCAGGAAGGACGGACGCCAGCCTCTTGACCGGCCGGGCCCTCCTGCACCTGCCCTTCATCTGGGCCTTAGCTCTGCGGCACCAGGGGAAGGTGGGCATGGGGAGGGCACAGCCTGCCGTCTCTCTGCTCCTGGGTTTGCCTCTGGGGCTCAGCTTGGCTAAACAACTCCACGGGGCCAGCACCCAGAGACACTTTAAGTAGGCGTACCTCGTGGCTTCGTTGACGGCACCGTCCGCCCGTTCTTCTGTTAAATGCTACACAAACACAAAAACGTCAAGACAGGTTACTGGATCCTCAAGTCAGCCCCGGAATACAGATCACTAGGGACAGCCGCCTGGTGAACACCCAGGCCCAGACCCCACCGGGGCGGCTCCCCAAGGGCCGAGTTTCCTCTGCTGTGAGCTGGGGGCAAAAGGCAGCCTTGGGATTTTATCCCCTTTCCCACTGTCTTGCTCACAGAAACAAACCACTACACACCCACTCCTCACTTAACGACTTCCCTGGCTAACCCATGTTTCCCACTGACAATTAAGTGTACATTAACGAGAGGGCTGGCAGTCATGAATGCCAGGTGAGAGGAGGGATTAATGAATGCTAGCTGTCAAGACAAAGTCTGTGTGGGACCCTGGCTGGGACATGCCATTGGGCAGTGATGTGATGACGTCATCTACCCCCCCTTTTGTGACTGGACCTGGTCATCCTCGTTTTGCAAGACTCGTTTTGCATACCGACCTGGCCTTGGGAACCTAACCCCGTGGTTGGAGCAGGTGTGGCTCAGATCCCGGGTACTTTCACTTTGATGCAGAACCACTGGTGGCACAGTGGCTCAGGGCTTGGCTGGGAACTCAAAGGTCAGCAGTTTGAACCCACCAGCTACCTCAAGGGAGCGAGAGCGATGTGGCTGCCTGCCCCCACGAAGAGCCACAGTCTGAGGAGCCCAGTGGGGCATCCCTTCCCTGTCCCAAGGGGGGTTTCACTTTTGCAGAAGTTATCCCTGTCCTAAATAGTCTTCATTTCAAAAGGGAGTGCTGCTGAAGCTGTACTTGTCATACAGTCAAATGTACTTCCCTCCTCCTCTGCCGAGTCCCAGCCCCAGCTGGACGTATACAGCAAGGGCTCACTGGAGACCAATCAGCTGTGAAGGACCCAGCCTTAATTCTAGCCTCCCAGTAGCCCGTGACTACCCAACACTGCCCCCTGCCCACCACCACCCTCCTGAAGACCAGTGCAACGCTTTATTCTACTGACCCTCTAGAGCACAGGTTCTCAACCTTCCTCATGTGGTGGTGACCCCCCAACCATAACATTATTTTCATCGCTACTTTATCACTGTCATTTTGCTACGGTTATGAATTGGGCGACCCCTGTGAAAGGGTCATTCGCTCTCCAAAGGGGTCTCGACCCACAGGTTGAGAACTGCTGCTCTAGAGACTGAAACCCAAACCAAACTTCATGCCACGGCAATCCCGTCTCACAGTGACCCTATAGGACAAGGCAAGACTGCCCCGGGGAGTTTCCAAGGCTGTAAGTCAGAGAGTGGAGAGCCCCACGAGTAACCCCTACACTCAGGGCTTTATTCCAGAGACTAAGAGCCCGCTAAAGGGGGCCCGGGCACAGGGCCCAGGGTTTGTAACTGCAAGGTCAGCGGTTCAAACATACCAGATGCTCCTTGGGAGAAAGAGGAGGCGCTCTGCTTGCTTACAGGCTTCAATCTCAGAAATTCACCGGGCAGTTCTGCCCTGCCCCGGGGTCCTTAGGACTCGACGCAATGGGCTCGGGCGCTAAGAGGCCCAGGAAGTCATTTTCCTCTCTCTGGGAGCAGTGCTGGCCCAGTACAGTGTGCATCCCCAATGTCCCCCCCATCGTCAGGCTCCTCCCCGGGGCTGAGTTCACTCACGACAGGGCTCCTTGTGGAGCACAGCCACTGCAGCTTGGAGGCGCCGTCGACCCGTGACTGTCTGAACCCCACCCCACAAACACTTCAACTCCTCACCCACCCTCACCCGGAGCCTGGCTCCTGTCTGACGGGGGAGGAGACCAGCCCCGACCCCTCACGGGAAATGAACACAATGGTAAACGGGACTCCTGTGGAGCCGGTCTTCATACAGCACCACCCAAGTGCTGATGGACATCAGACCCCACTTGGGAAGAGCTGCTACAGGTCACGTTCAAGGCTATGCCACCACATGACTCTCGTGATCCATGGGGGTTGGCCAAGGGGGCTCAGTTTGGAATCTAAGAGGAAGC